GTTTTTCCATATAGAATAAACTGTCTACAGCTCTTTTATATCATTGTCTTTGTCCATTAAGCTACATTACGTGTTTTATTTATAATGATTTTCTATAGGAGGAAAATGTTTAACGTGCACTTTAACGCATTGCGTTCTGGGCTCGTCTGCATGCCTGTACGGAGTTGATCCTTTTAAAATCACTTAATGCATTTCAAAATGCACGTTCATATTTGTTGGTCTGTATATACTTTGAGTCAACAACAAGACATATAGGCTACTGTATTGTCTTTATCATCCGTTATTATGCCACGTTAAGCGTTTTTCTGTATGGGAGGACAAGTGAAAGTTTGCGCATTGTGTTCATGGCCATCTGCTTGCCTTGTAGTACATTAAATAATAACTATATATCGAATTTGATCTTTTAATTGAACTTATCTTCATCTTAATACATTACGCCATGTTAAGTGTTTATGTTTTTCTACAGGAGGAAAACGCTTAACGAGAGACTTTGTGCATTGCGTTCATATTCTGCTGTTCTGTGGCGACGGATTTGCGGGTCTTGTCTTTTTCTTGCAGGACCCTGTATGTTATAGTACTAAATTAGTTTTAATCGTTTAATCACCACAGCGTCTTGTCTCCATTGGCAACACGCACCATTTGTGTCGATTGCAAGTGATGTCGCAGGTACCGGAGAGTGCAAGTGGCGATTGCAAGTGACATTGTAATTTAGTTTATTTTTTCTTGTTTCACCACCTGGCTACTGTTGTAAAATGTTGAGCGATTCAAACAAAAAGTAATCAATAAATAGAACAAAATAAAAAAAAATAAAAGACTGCAAGTGACGTCGCTAGCAGAAGCGCAAGTGTCTGAGAGTGCAAGTCTGAGAATGCAAGTCTGAGAGTGCAAGTGCAAGGCTGCAGCTAGACCCTCTGGAAAAAAACAAGTGACTAACCAAACTTTAACGCTATTATTTTGCTGCCTTGGAAGCACTAGCATTAGAAATGCAAATCTTGTTTAACATAAGAACTTTAACATTTCCAGTGAGTGTCTTCCTTTAAGTGTCACAGAGGAAGTGCCTCTTGAATCTCCTCATCTCAGAAGAGTTTTAATTGAGCTAATAGGATTAATGTTGCTCCTAATGCTGGAGAAGAGATCATTTAGATCCAGCACTGATATTGCCGCCATGTGCTTTATTCTCCGAATGCAGAACATAAAGAGACACCATTAAATTTGAATGTGAACATATATTTTGTGATGGTTGGCATGTCTGTGATAAGATCTGAAGTCCTTGTGCATGTAAACATCCAATAAGCTCAGAGCCATGGCCTCGACGTGACCTCGTCCAATACGTCTCACCTTTCGTAGACTGCTTACCATAAACATCACTGCGGTCATAAAATCTATCCAGTGAGAAGGGAAAACACAGATATGGAAGAGAGCTCTGCCACATGCTGAGCACGCTGATGAATATTTCTTCAAAAACACACTTGCATGGTATCAGCTGCAGCACAGAGGAAATTTCACCATTCACAACACTTTAAGCTTATAAATACAGCTGTGTCTAACAAAATGTTCTACATCTAGTTTTAGAACACACATATACATATCAAAGTTAGACAAATAGGCAACCAGAAATGCAGTGTTCCTATCGAAGCAAGTTAAAAAAAAAATAATAAAAAAAAAAAGGGGGAAAGAAAATCTGCGAGTCCCCTTCTCTGATATTTATAGAATCGCTCTGGCTGTGCAGAGAAGAATCGAGGCAGCTGCTAACAAGGGAGCGGAGGACAAGACAGCTAGAGCCAGATGTACACTCTACTGATTATGAAAGCCATGTGAAACAGAGCCTTACCCGTAGGCCACGCCTGCAATTGTGCACTTCTTAAACTGCATGACGTTGCACGTCAGGGTGCCTGTCTTGTCTGAAAAGATGTACTTCACCTGGTTTCAGGAAAGAGAGATCAATAAACTAGAGTTAAGTAGTTACACAAAGTAAATATTTTCAACCCATTTTACTTCCGTAATGCAACTTATTCTGCATAAAACAGAATATTCTACAGAAAATATGCAAGGAGGGACTTGATTTAACGCATCAGGAATAAACTAGATTGTGAAAAGTAGGTCTTTATTGTATTAACTGGCATTAGGCTGTATTCCCAAATAAAATTCTAAGTATTACAGCTAAACTGATAAATTGTGTTATGGCTGATAGCCGATAGCTGATGAATGGCTAATATTAAAATTCTATATAACTTCGCCTAAATAAATCTACAAAAAAAAAAAAAAAACGACACATTTTGTGATCTGCTACAGATTACATTTAACAGTGTTATTTAATGTGTTTTCAAAGATGAATTTAAAATGAGCATTACATGATAGCAAAGGTGATCTACAAGATAAAAACAGGGGAAATGAAAAAAGAACAATTAACTATCCAATATTGGCAAACAATATTGATAACATTTTAAATTATGGTCAATAATCAATATGGAATCAATACACTATGGTTCAAACGTTTGTGGTCAATAAGATTTTTTCCACATTTTTTATCAAGTCTATTATGCCCGCAAATACAATTTTGTTGATGAAAAACACAAAAATAGCAATATTGCAAAATATTACAATATAAAATAACTGTTTTCTATTTTAACACATTTTTAAATGTAATTTTTAAAGCAGCAATTTCTCCAGGCTTTAGCCACACATAATCCTTCAGAAATCATTCTAATATGCTGATTTGGTGCTCAAGAAACATTGCTGTAAAAGTCTTAATTTCAGCTGAAGAGTAGTATATATTATGCATAATTGCATGAAATGAGTTTTTGCAAATATAAATAAAATGAAATTGTTTTAATTTTTGTTCATAAATGAGTTTATTTCTGAACGTGAGGGCAAGCAGTACCTGTCCCAACTCCTCATTCAGGTTTGATGTCCGGGCCATAGCTGGTGTGTTGGTGACTTCATACAGCATGTCAGTGTCCTAAAATCACCAGGCAGAATTAATAATCACAACCATTTTCTATTAATATCTTGCCATCTGGACTCCAAAACATATACCGCTCTTTTTGAATGAAACAACCGCTCAAAAGTCTTGACTCTATGGGAATTCACAAAACTCCACTGCATCTAAAAGCGGTGTCTGTTTGCTATAAGCACCTTGCCCCAAATCCAATTTTGGCATCTTCAAATGGGTTATTTTGATAAAGCTCCACTTTCGTTTGGGCGGTGAAGTTTTCTGGGATTGGCCCTGGAGGTTAAGGCAGTCTGCATTTCAAAGACAGCAGATTTATCACACAGACAGAGCTCCCGCAGCTCAGCCTCACACTCACCCAGTTGATGAAGAAAGCCTGGACGAACTTGATGACCTCTAGAGTCACCAGAAGACTGATGGGAATCAGGTTGTTGAAGAGGATGATGAAGGTGAGGAAGTTCAGGCCAAAGTTGGCCGCTCCACCATCTAGAAAAAGAAGAGCGAGGGGAGGAAGAGGAGAGAGAGGTAGTAAGCTGGCAGAATGTTTCTGAGCTATGAAAGGCAAGATGGGATGGGGTGGACTGAGGAGAAATGATGGAAGGACAACTATGCCACAAGCTCATCTGGTCTAATTTGCAACGTTTCCACAATGCTCCACTAGCGTTGTGTGAGCGTTGTGCAAACACTATACAACTCTTCCACCCAAACTCTCCAGTAAGCCTCTAACCTACAAATTCATTCAATTCTCCAATCAGGTCTCCATTAATTAGTAGCTAAACTAGATTCTTTGACATCATAGTGGCAGCCTTGGCAATATGGGCAAGATTCAAAGCAACACATTATCCCACAATGCACTGGGGGTGGGTAATCATGATTTTCAATCTTAAATCAAACACCAAATTTAACAAAGAGAGCAGCACAAAGAGAAACAAAAATGTAATCAATAAAAATAAGACCACAGACACAAGACAGCTCACACATAGTGTTAAAATCAACATGAAACAATATTCACAACCCATTTTACTTTGACATATGACCATGTTTAAAAGGATATTCAAAGAGAGAAATACATTAAACTACATGAACTATTAGCAAGATCTAAAAAACAACATTACACTAGTCTTAAACAAAAATAAAATTTGAATTCTGGTGTCATATGCGTCATAACATTTTATTTTACCCATATTTATTAACATTAAACACTGATGAAATGTCCATAACGAGACTAAGAGCGTTTTTTAAAGAAAGTAAATGGGTTCTTTTTTACTTCATGTTGACTTTAAGCATGAATAAAAAGCTTTACCTGGGGATCCACAGAATGCAAATTGTCTTTCTGAGCAGTTAGGAGAGGGAGCGCTTTTCTCATACAGAGTCATAGAACTAGAGAGGCTGGGCAATCATACAACTGCTATTGGAACTGACTCACGGAGAGAGGAAGAGGATTTGGCTAGTGGTGGGAAGGAAGACAATCAGTTTGGATGTTTCAGTGTAAAGGAGGAAGACCAGTCTAAAGTACCTTCCAATAACATGGAGCCGAACAGAGAGATGTGACATTTCGAGATATTTCAATCATTTGGAAGATCCGAAACATAGTACAAGTAACACTGAACTAAGCTTGACTGTCTCTTGCATGTCGGCTGAAGAAGACCTTTCCTGGTGGAAGATTTTTGGCTGCATCGGAAACTACTCAAAACTTATTTCCTGACTACTGAATAGTCTAGTTATAAAAACTACACCCAACAAACACCAAGTTGGCAATAAAGAAGACAACTTCTCTGCATTCAACAGGCTACAGTAAACAAATGCATCTCTAATCGCTAACCTTCACCGCTGCACATGCTCACATGACATTCTGAAGCATGCAGGAAGATGCAGCACCATCTCTCTTAGCTAGCTACTGCAGGTCCACTGACATCAGTGCAGCAAGGAGTCGCGCTGCGGGGTCAGCACTTCTCAAGACACCCGTCTTGAGAAGCACAAAACCTGCTACCTGTTATTTCATGGTCAGGAGTTCAACATGGGTGACTGTTGTTGCAGGTGGCGTGAATGCATAACAAATGACTGCTGCTCAAGTGCTCAGGAGGCCCATCTGCATAGAGGCACATGCATTGGTTTGGATATATACTGGGCAGAAGCAGAGTAAAATATCACAGGGGTTCAAAGTCAAATGAATTATTTATGACGAATAATTACTCATCTGCCTGAAGTGTGCAACGCTTAGACTAATGAGTGAAAGGTGTGTATCCGTCGCCCTGAGTGTACACCTGCTAACCCAATCTGGAAACCTTCAAGCACAGCTATTGCATTGTTTTTACCTCTGGGGATGAATCATAATCTGAGTTTTAGAAAGAAGTCTCTTATGCTCATCAAGGCTGGATTTATTTGGTAAATAAAATTATTACATACATAAATACATATGTACATACATAAATAAAATCTGTAATATTGTGCCACATTATTACAATTCAAAATTTTTTTTTTCCATTTTAATGTTTTAAAATTGTATTTATAAACAGTTTTCTGCGCAATATTTCTGTGGAAACGTGATACTTATCTTCAGTATTTTTTTATATTAATAGAAACTGTTTATTTGAAATAGAAATCTTTTGTGACATTACAAGTCTCTTTACTTTCAATGCATCCTTGCTAAATGCAAGTATTAATTTATTTTTAAAAACCACACAAATCTGAATGGTAGTGTACTAGCTCCCTCCAGGTATTATTAACCCTAATCGTTTTATCATGAATCCTTGATTATACCCCTGACTGAAAAAGCAGGAAGTGGCCTTGGTTTATAAAGTAAGTATAATCTGCAAAAGCATGTAAACGACAAATCAATGCCACATCTCCCTTTTACAGCTCCACTAGGAGGGCAAACAACAAACACAAGACAAAGTCTCCCTCCTTTAGAGGAATAATCAATTTCATGATGGATACCTGCTTTATGGCCTCACTGTTCCCTCACATGGCACCCAACATCATTGTTATTTCCTTTCCAAATGACTGCGCTGGATGTGAATGATTACAGATGGAACCCAGCATTGGTGGTGCAACTCAGCATTTGACAACATTTTCGATGAACTCTCAGAGCATACCAAGAAGGGAACTGTGTAGGCCATAAAACAAGCTGCGATCGATTCGGACACAAACAGCACCTCCTATTTAAATCAAGAGTAATGATGGTGGTGACACGTTAATTAATTTGCAAGCGTCTCCTGCCAACAATTTAACACATTTTCGCCTCTTATTGGTGCACAAAATTGTTCATTTTTTTCTTTTTCAATTACCTGCAATGCTCAAGGCATGCAACAGATGTGTTCCCATCACTGCTCATTAAAAATGAAAGGCAGTGTTGCGTTTCTTAATATCGTACTTTTACAACCCAAACATTAAGCCTATTAGCATGGATTTGCTAATCTTCTCCAGAGCTGGGCCTTTTCGGTCTCGTCTGTCAGCACCGGTATAACAAACACAGCTGAACGAGGATGTGGGTAAGAGGAAAAGGGGGGCATTTAGAAAATGTCACGGTTTGACCTCCAGGGTCTTCTGCACGGGAACACGTTTCTAACTCTTGCTCTGACAGCGCCCGTGGGTAACTCGCTCCTCTCCACGTGTGTTTCTTTGGGTCCGAGGCTTACTGTCATGGCTCATTTGTTAGGCACGAGCGAAAGGACGCTGGCGCGTCCGAAGCCGGAGCTTACGAAGTGTTTAACGTGTCACCAAAATAAAGAAAGGGAAGGCACGTTTTTGACATCAGGCATTAAGAGGGTCTACACAGTGTAGAGCTGGAAGGGAAAAACCTATCATTGGATTCCTGGTGTGTGTGCGGTCCTCTGCAATTTCCCTCATAAAGTAGGGCAACCATATAAGTGGCTTCAGTAGCTTAGCAAAAGCCGAGCTTCAGTTAGGGGTTAGTAAGGAGGGGTCATTCACAGATGGCCAAGGGTTTTAAATGGTTGTTACCTGGAGCTGTTAAGAAAATGACAACAACAAAGAAACAAAAAACACAAACCAAACAGAATGTTAGAAAGGAAGCTGATAACAAAACGAACGAAAAAAAGAAGTACAGCAGCGTTCGTGATATTCAACCATTTATACATTCATGTGTCTATGCATATTAGAACTAAAAGGGAAAAGTTCTCCTTTCCCTTTTTATTGACAAATATTCACATATGCAATGCATATTTGTTTACATAAAGGGAAGACGAAAATTACTGACGATAACAAAAAAAATGAAAGCACACATAGATACACAAGCGGTCTAGCATGACAGAAGGAAAGGGGGTCTGGTTCTTACAGTTGAGGTCCATGTACCAGGCGTCATTGCCATACTGGTACTTCCAGATGGTCTGGCCTATGGAGCACACCAACGAAATGGCCAAGAGACAGCCAAAAAGCAAGAGGATCTGAAAGTTGGTGATGCGCTCCACGTTGGAAAGCTTCAGAGGGGGGGACGTGGAGTTCTGGACACAAAACTCAGATTTCTCAGATTGAAGCTGGATTTGGGATACGACTGAAGTAGACTGAAGCAGACAGATTACCTGCATGAGTTTGGTGTCGTGTCCTGTGTAGACCACGATACCGTGGACCCACTGTGTGTTCCTGAGTTGTGCTCCTCTCAGCAAGATCTGATCAGGACCGAGTGGTACGGTGCTAAATATGGAGCAAACCCAACAATTGATGAACATTTAAAAAAATTAATCCAACCCAAAAAAATACAGCATAACAGCAGGATAATGTGATGTTAGATATAAATAAATGCACAGAGGGAAGTTTAGTGAAAACACAACCCATTTGGTATTTTATAAAGTATAGATTTGTTCCTTCCTAAATATCAATATGCAATTAAACCTGCCTTCAATTATCAGTGAGACATTTTCATTCTTCAACTTCGATCGAACCCTTCCTGCTGAAATTAACTTCTCACGCTCATCAGTATCTCAGACTAATGAAATACAAGACTGAAGTCAGCCTGAACATTTCTGTCATTGCTTCTGTTTTTCTTTCATTCACCTCAATCCAAATTTGACCTTTATCACTCACACTCTGCCTGTCGATTTTCTCATACCTGTGTCCATCCAGGCGAATATTGCCCACAAACTCATACAGGTGTCTGTTGGGACTCTCACATTCCATCCGTCCAGAGAGACGCATTAGACTGTCAATGTCCTTGATGTCCGTAGTGATCTGCAGACCCTGAGTATAACAAAAAACACTAAGTAATACAATTCACACCAGTAAACAATTAGCTGAATTGTACAGTATTAATTAATAACAGTAGGTATGACATGAGGGGGGCAAAAATCACCTGTCTGATCTTGAGATTAGTTTCTCCATCTAGATTTGAGGTCTCAATGTAGCACATTCCTTGAGGTTCACTACAATAAACAGCACCATTATGAAAAAAAAATAAATAAAATTTAATACATCATGAGGATACATGGCACCACCAGTAGAATACTTTGCAGTTTACTGAAATATGTGAGCCTGGACCACAAAACCAGTCATAAGGGTACATTTTTTGAAATTGAGATTTATACACCATCTCAAATCTGAATAAAAAAGCTTTCCATTGATGTATGGTTTGTTAGGATAGGACAATATTTGGCCGAGATACAACTATTTGAAAATCTGGAATGTGAGGGCGCAAAAATCGCGTTTAAAGTTGTCCAAATGAAGTTCTTAGCAATGCGTATTACTAATCAAAAATTACGTTTTGTTATATTTACAGTAGGAAATTTACAAAATATCTTTATGGAACATGATCTTTACATAACATCCTAATGATTTTTGGCCTAAAAGGAAAATCTATAATTTTGACCCATACAATGTATTGTTGGCTATTGCTACAAATATACCCCAGCGACTTAAGACTGGTTTTGTGGTCCAGGGTCACATATATAATAAATAAATTATTAATTTATACGGTTCAAAAGTTTGGGGTCAGTAAGTTTTTTTTAAAACAATTATTGAGCAAGGACTTAAATTGATCAAAAGTGACAGTAAATGCATTAATAACATTACAAAAGATTTCGATTTCAAATAAACGCTACTCTCTATTCAAAGAATTCTGAAAAAAAATATATCAAGGTTTTCACAAAAATATCAAGAAGCACAACTGTTTTCAACTGTGATAATACATGTTTATTGAGCAGCAAATTAGAATGAGTTCTGAAAGATCATGTGACACTGAAGACGGGAGTAATGCCTGCTGAAAATTCAGCTTTGCCATCATGGGAATAACTTACATTTTATATATTTTAATATGTATGTCAAAAAGTTATTTTGAGTTGCAATATCAATATTACTATTTGGACTATATTTTTGATTAAATAAATGCAGCCATGGTGAGTACAAGAGACTTTCAAAAACATAAAAAAAAAAAAATGGTACTAAGCCCAAACTTTTGAACAATAGTGTATCTTAAAAGAAATTGGCACAGCCTAGCTACTTTAATATCAAAATATCACGTAAAACAGATAAATGGCATTGGCTAAAATACGTAACTATTTCATATATAATTAATAACTAAAGAAGTTTTGTTCACATCAATCAAAACCACACAGCTAAATGAAGACCCATAATCAAAGATGCCCTTTTTTCTAGAGCTAGTACAGTTTACTGTTAAAATTATATTGATATTTATTTCAGTAAGGAAAGTGTACTGGGCAGCATATTTTCCCCAAACTGCATAAGGCATTTTAGTACTTGGACTGAAAATAAAAACACATCGCTCTAATGGGACTCTCTTAGATCCAGATCTTTCATTTTGCACTCAGCCATTAGGAAACTTTCACTCGATGCATCTTTGTTTATGGTCATGCATTCTGCTGTTTTTATTTTTAGTTACATCCTCCACATGCAACAAAGGAAAGATGCAGCACACCAGACAAATGAACATTCAGTGTTAATACTGAGAAGAGCAAAAGCAGGATAGCGAGTACACAGGGCCAAAGCTGTTCCACATCTCTCCTTTAATAAACGATAGCAGGCGTGACCAGAAAAGATGGTTCTCGTACTTAAAATGAAAAGTTCAGAAAATAATCAGAAAATCAGAAAAGTTTGCTCTGCTTTGGGTCTATACAAAACAAAAATAGATGTCAATACTCATTTCTTCTGTGGTTGTCAAAAATGTAACAAGTCCCCACCAAAACATCATGTTTATCTTAGAGTGAAAAAAACAACAACATTTCATAGATTCAGTATACGGACAATGTGGTTTACTATAAAGGCTCATGACAATACTGTACATTGTGGTGATGTGACCGCATGCAGAGAGTCACATCAGAGTCTGAGCTCCTGCTGAAGTCATGCATTGTGCCAACAGCTGTGACATTTACAGTCACTCAATGGCTCTTTTCTCCAGCTGTGTTAGAGAAGCGCTTTGTTTTTCCTGTGTGCACATGCTTAAGCATCTTCAGCACAAAGCAGAGGGTCTGTAATACACGTCTCTACGGTTATGGAAAGGGCTTCATCAGTATTTTCTGTTGGGAGTTGAACGGAGTCGTCCTCTGAGAAATATGTGCCTAGTCAGCCCATTTTTAGTGCTTAAATTTAAGAATCTCATGACAAAAGGTCCAACAATGATGCATGGGAGGTTGAGAGTTGTGATACCGAGTCTCAATAGGCTCTTTAATTGCACAATTATCAAACAGTGTGGCTGAGAAATATATTAAATATAAACCAAGGTATATTCAGAATCATATAGGCTAGCTGGTAACAAAATAAAACACCACTGTGAATAAAATAATAACTTTAATGCACTTTATTTACACATCAAGTTTCTGGAAAATTAGTTTTGTGATCTATGTCTCACTATTTTTTTAAGTATGAGCCTTTAGTTTTGACTGCATCACTGATTTAAACTTCAATAGCAAAATAATATTAGAAATTGGGAAATTCAACTAATTTCTATTACTCTATTCAAAATTTGTGTTTCACTGAATCATTTTTAAAATATTCATTTTTCTTGCACTAAAATGTTTTAGTAAAAACATATGTAGGTAAATGTAGGTAATATATATATATTGTACTAGAATATTCCCAAAATACTCTAAAATCTGCTTTACATCTATATGTTATAATCTTATTGCTTAATGTTATAATAATGTAGTTTTTGAATGCATACAGAAAAACTGATATCACCCAGCGGAACCCAACAATATCAATCAGATCATTGCTAAAAAAAAATGGCATAACCAAGAATAGCATTAAAAGCTGACAAAACACCATCAGGCCAAAACAACAAAAAAATTGAAAGAGAGAGAAATATTAAGGTAACAGATTCTCTCCATCTGTGCACCCCCTGCCCCCTTCCCACCCAACCCGCATGCAAACTGGAGTTGTTCCTGACCTGGACGACAGAATGATGAGGTCAGCCGGGAGGTGATCTCCATTGGCTGCTCGGACTACCTCCCCTACTGACACCTTTAATTTGCCCAGCAGCCCCGGCGCAAGGGGAATGACGCGAGTGAAGTCGGGAGAAGGTTGTTCATCACATGAGGTTGGGAGGGGAGGGAGAAAGGTGGAGATGAGAGGAGGGAAAGGACATAAGATGGGCAGAGGAGGAAGAGCACACATAAGACGGGGAGAGAGACACAAACACACAAACGTTTAATCTTCACAGAGGAAAAAACACAATGTTCACTGCTCAAAACCCACCCAGGCCAGGCTAAACCACCAGTAAAGATTTTATAATTTTGATAAAACTTTTATTTTACAGATATTTATTTTATCTGTGGCTGATGTAAATGTCTGCAACACCCCAGAATTTTGGGTCAACTTAAGGCCTGGCTGGCAATTGGATTTTGACAGTGAAGAGGACAACTTCATCAGGTCAGTATTAATCAATAAGCAAACATCCACTAAAGGAAGTGCTGATTTTGACTTTTCACTCATTTTAAAACTCTACCATTTGTGCCCCTTATTTCATAATAAACCCCTATAACTTTTAGGTTTGGAACAAAAAAAGGCAAGTAAACAATGGCAGAATTTTCAATTTTGGGTGAACTAGTCATTTAATCCTTCATCCTTTGTGGATAATATATGACATTTATATTATTAAAACCATCAACTGATACCATTTGTAATGACACTGCACTGATTTGGAGCTTTGTCTCAGGGTTATTTGTTATTAGCCTGTTAATCATCACTTCCTTTGGGTGTTAAGTGTGAGACAGGGGCATAAGGATGGACAAGTTCCTTTCTGATGACGTAGACTCGTCTACCTGGATGACAGCAGTATAGCATCTGCTGGTACGAAATCTTTGCCATTAACTTTAACTATGTCTCCAACCACAACCTGTAAAACACAAACTAGTTATCAATTCAAAAACTTTACAGCAAACTAGCAGCCACTGGCGAGAGTAAAGAAATAAGAAATATTCATTTCACTCGTTTCATTCAGGAGGTACTTAGATCCAAACATAAGCCTTCACTTGAGACTAGCATTTAAAATGAGGCCATTTAATCAAAAGTATTCTCTGTAAAATCCACAAATAAACTATTTATTTTTTCAGATTTGCATTTTTAATAATCTTATTAGCCATAATCCAGTAGAAGTGGGGGAACGCTGCTTCATAGCTGCTATTTTGAATCAAAGTGGAGAGCTACTTAAATATGCATGAGTTGATATACGATTTATAAGGAGGCTTATATTAAAATTCATTATTTATACTGTGCACTGTAATTCAAAGTGTGTCACAGTGTGGCTTAATAAAAGGAAGGGCGACAAGAAGCCTGGCTCCACAAAACTGTTTGAATATTGATGAGATGACAATAAAAATAAAACTAGATTTAATGAGCTGAAGCAGAAACATGTTGTACTTCACTGTCAATTCTAGCAGCACTTAGCAGAATTGCAGCTTCAGAAAATAATATACTAAAAGGAAACAACTGTAAGCAGTCATAGTTGACATCACATCCTATTCTATGCCACGGTGAGGTCACCAGGGCACAAGTTAATGCACTCTCGCAGATGTGCACTAATATAGCAAACAGTGATGAATGCCCAGTCCTCAGGTAATTATATCTCCAGCCATTTCCTTTTGCTTTCACTTTATAATTATGGACTGTGTGTTACCATCAGGGTAATTAGCTCAACTCTCTATTAACACATTGAAAAGCTGCTCTATGTCTGGCTGCATTAGGATCTCTATGGACACCGCACGTAAGCTGCGGCCTGGTTAGAGTCTACTCCTGGATTCTCAACTCTTTAGGTTAAGATGAGCAAAAGAAAAAGAGCAGAGAGGGAAGTACCCTCTTCAGAAAACACCAAAGTATCTGTTTTCAAACCAAACCTGCTCTGGTTTACGCCATCGTGCATCTTTATATGCATACTCATTTCTCACCCTGTTTCTAAGAGTATGTCAACTAATTTTCAGGCTGGAACTCAGTGAGGCAATTGGTATGAGAAACACCATCGGCTGCAGTACCTTCTCCCAATGTACAATCTCCCAAGCGCCATTCCTCAATACTACAAAAGAGAAAGAAAGATCACCATAAGTGAAATGTAAAAAAAAAAAGATCCCTAACACAGACCAAGACCCCATGATATAAAAATGCATTCGCATATACACACACACATTTAAAGTTGACGGTCTTCTTCTTGCAGGGGGGAAAAAAAAAGATGAAAAGTTCTAATTACTATATGCTGACTCATCCTGTATGGCTGTGTCCAATTTTTTGGCCAATCTAATTTCTCATTAGAAGGGTAGTGCCTAACTAGCAAATCACAACTCAAGGACGTAAGACAAATTAAAGCTACTGCCTATTAAAAGAGTCATTTACATGCCACCTCAACTTTATTTCAATAGGAAATACTCCAAAACAGGGAGGAAAAAAAAAAAGATGAAAAGTTCTAATTACTATATGCTGACTCATCCTGTATGGCTGTGTCCAATTTTTTGGCCAATCTAATTTCTCATTAGAAGGGTAGTGCCTAACTAGCAAATCACAACTCAAGGACGTAAGACAAATTAAAGCTACTGCCTATTAAAAGAGTCATTTACATCCCACCTCAACTTTATTTCAATAGGAAATACTCCAAAACAGGGAGGAAAACTGCTCTAATCAGGCGAATATATAGGGTTTTTAAAGACAAATGTTGAGCAAACAAATGTCTTACCTTGTGTCTCTTTCTTGTTAACAACACTATCAGCATTGTGGCGTTTCTGAAATAAAAAAAAAGAAGTTATTAATCAAATGAGCCAAATCAAAGTTTCAAATACTTTTAGATGGACAGACATTATTTTATGGATTTTATTACTTTCTTCTGCACTATAAAAGAACTTTGGCACACAATTATTACAGACATATAAATATAGCATGCATTCAACACAAAGTCATTAGAAAATACTAAAACCTTTTAGAAAATAAAATAAACATTCTTTATAGAGAAAGAGTGATGTTTTACATGTTTAGTGATCAATAAAACTGCTAATCGAGAAGCGGAGAGATTGTCCATTGAAGCACTCTTTTCTGTCCCAGATTACAAGAGCTGTTTGATCTGCTCTAATCAAGAACCACTTTGAGCTTTTCTATTACAGAGAGTGAATACGAATGAGCGAGTGATCTGAAATCACTGATTAGCCTCTAAAAGCTCTACATATACATTTGTGTTCTTGCCAGTGCTCTCTGATTGCCTAATTATCCTCCCGGTTAACACTGGGAAATACGTCCAGTGTCACCTCGGTTTGTCCAGGACGGCTGGTTTATGAGCTGTTAGGAAGACAACATGAGAGAAATCTGAATAACTTAAAATTATGGTACTATGCTTAAAGTTCCACGAGCGCCAGTTACCTAAATGCAGATTACATCTATAAAATAATGTTCTATAAAGTAATGTTGCTACTGACTACTAAGAAAATGTCCAAATTAAATTTGTTTATATAGAGACAATTTATCAAAAAATAAAAATAATCTGTTGCTTACTGTATATACTCTGCATCAAAATAAATAAATGCATACATAAATAAATAATTGCAGGCAGTCTTTCTATATAATTCTTCCCCTCCTCCCAATCTCTTTCAAATTGATATTATATTAAAATAACATTAACTGTGACAAACAGCAACATTTATATTACTGGAGAGATTACCGAGTGGCCCATGTCACATGACCTCTGCAGGAGAAGGAAAAAGTTAGACTGGTCTAAGATCCCATTTATCATCCAAATCAGCTCTGGTGCAGTGTTGGATAACTCATTCTCTCCCTTTCTCCTCACTCTCTCCTGTTTCCATTTCCCTCACATTTTCCTTCAGCTCAACATGGAGCAGAGATAAGGCTCTGCGGAGGGAAGTGATGATTTGATTACGCATCTAATCTAACTGATGGCTTGTCTGCAGTGAACATGGGAGCAAGAGGATATTTAACAATACAAGAAGGCCCCGAAAAGGAAGAGGAGACAGTGGTTTGGGTTTGTGGTAAAATGCAGCACTAAGTCCCAGAAGGATTAGTGGAGTACAGTGGGGTGCAGCTGATAAGCAGGCCACTGTGTGGAAAGCACTGGCGCGTCACCTCTTTGTTAGACTCGGTCGTTGTTAGAGATGCCGGATTATGACGAGTTATGGATTATACTGAGCCTACTGGCTTCTTTTGAAACTCGTATATGAAGACACAGTAAGAACGCAACAAACAAAAACTGTTCAAAAGTTTGGGATCAGTAAGATTTTTTTTAAATATTATTTTATTCAGCAAAGATGCATTAAAATGATCAAAAGTGACAGTAAAGACATTCATAATGTTATAAAAGATTTCTATTATTTCAATCAATCTTTTGAACTCTATCAAAGAATCCTGAAATTGTTTTTTTTGTTATTTAACAGCATATTAGAATGATATTAGATTGAATGGCTGCTGGTAATTTAGCTGTATTTACAGGAATAAATTACAATTTAAAACATAAGGAAATAGAAGTTATTTTAAACTGATGAAATTTCACAATATTATATTTTACTGTATTTTTGATCACATAAATGCAGCCTTGATAAGTAAATGACACTTCTTTCAAAAACATTAACAAATAAATAAATCAAAATGACTAAGAAATATTTAGCAGCACGATCAAGCTTTTTTTCTTACAATAAGGGCAGGAAAAAAGCACCATATTTAAAGTCCTTGACAGCTCATGAAAAACAGCTCCTTAAGCTTGACGGCTCAAGAAAAACACCATTCACACATGTCTTGAGATTGTGATGTCCTATTAGAGAGCTACAGTTCAAAGCCCTTGATCACAGCAAAATATCTTCTTTTGTGTTTGAAAGCCAATCATTCAGGTTTGGAACATGAGTTTGAGAAAATTAATTAAATTAGTTAATTTTCTGGTGAACTATTTCTTTAAATACAAAAACAAGCCCTCCAAGTCTAACAAACAAAAGCTAGCACTCAAAGTAACAAGAGAAGCCTTTCTCTCGCCTTATGGGATGCCTCTAAAATTAATATTTGTTTTTACTTGAAGGGAAAAGAAAGCAAAGGTCATGTGACCTCCACTCACAGCAGAGTGGTACATGAGAGCGGGGAGGTGAATTTACCATATGACCTTCACGTCCAGAGCTAGTTTTGACCTCTCAGACCTGAATAACGCATCAGAAACCAATATAAAGTGTTGAGCCGGTCATTCTGACCACGGCATCCAGCGGGATGTCCAGAGGGATCCGGGAGAGCAGGCTCTGACTTCAGGGTCACAGCACAATGGTGGATCCACTTGGGCTGGTGCTTTTATCTCAGTGTTCACTCCTCTATGTAAATTTCTATGTAAAAAGGTCTTGGAATTAATTTACATGGCAAATAAGACGATAGTTCAGGTCAGGAAAAAAGCATCAGCTAATGGGAGTGAGATGCATTCTGCCGTGTACGTGATCACCATTCACCAGAGAGTGAGATTGAATTATCAGGAAGAGTAAAAGAGGTAAACGTGAACGCAGTCTAAAAACTGACTCCGATAATATAACAGCTGTGAAGGGCAGGAGAGAATAAAACCAACAGCAAGCACGACTGCACTTCAGATACTAAGATCAGCACAGTTCTCCTTCATTAACCAACTCATTAAAAATCATTCCAACTGCCAATGATAAAGTGATTAAGATACACTGGAAAAAGTGAGCTATCTGCATAAAGTTCACATGCATTTACTCTAGTGTTGTCACGAAACCAAAATTTTGACTGATGATACAATACCTGACTAAAATCTATTGATACTACTACTGAACCGATACTACGCCAAAAACATAATACAACAGGAAAGGTAATTGAATAATAGATGAGTCACATGGAGCTTATAGTTATTTTATCTATTAATATTTTTTTACTTGATCAGTGTGTGCCTGCCCTGCTTTTCATCCCTCTTTAAAATAAATAAATAAGTAATAAAAATCACATGCTAGTGTCACTAGCGCACAGGACTAAGGTGAGCAACTACCAAGCCTACATATTTATATCTTTGCAACATTGGTAAGTTAGCTAAAAGGATAAAGCCAAATTAGACGGTTATTACTGACCCCAACTGCCCCATCAAACTCAGACGGTGAAAATGTTCATGTGTCACAAAATAAATCACACTCTTTTGACTTATATTTGAGGGCATAAGCTAGGGGTGGGAAATATGACCAAAATCTTATTTCATAATACGAGTTAGGGCTTATTTTAATAATCGATTAATCTGTCGATTATTTTTTCGATTAATCCCAAAATCTTATTTCATAATATGAGTTAGGGCTGCAACTAACGATTATTTTAATAATCGATTAATCTGTCTATAATTTTTTCGATTAATCGATGAATCGGATAAAAAACAAAAAAGCAAGAAAAGCATTCATTTCCAACCCTTTATTCAAAAACAGAACTAAAACCTTTAGAAAGTGCACAAACATTTTGCTCCTTGAACATCCCTGAGCTGTTATAATAATAATAATAAAATAAAAATGGACTTACACAAAAAACATACACATGTATGCACATGAAGTGCGCCATTTGGGACAGGGCCTATATGAGGCGCCGAACTCTGCTAGCATCAGTTCGCGAGAGAGACCGAGTGTGTTCACTCCGCTCCGCGCTCAACTAAAGTTTTTTTTTTTTTAAATAATCAAACGTCTCCGCGTCGCGCGACACAACGTATCGATTATGAAATTCGTTGCCAACTCTTTTAGTAATCGATTTTTATCGATTTAATCGATTCGTTGTTGCAGCCCTAATACGAGTAATTCTATTTCACGATAACTATTTATATTATTATTATTATGTATTATATATTTATCTTTTGTTGTTTAATTAACATTGTAGATACAGACAGCAGCAGGAATATTAGCCTGCTGTCACTTTAAGAGCTGCGGATCCAATTTATTGATACACACATTTCCTTTCTCATCTTTTTATGTTCACTTAAATCATAACACAAAATGGGCATTCATATGTAATTGTGTGTGTATATTTCACCACTGAAGAGCAATAACATGTGAAAGAGATCTGAATTTGCGATCACGTGCTGTCTCGATGTGCTTTCAGTGCATGCACATCGGGTGTGTGAGTACCGCACAAGTTCTTTTTCAAGATTTATTGCGCTTAACTCATTTTAACATCAAGCAAAACCTGCACTTTATTTTCTAATTCATGCATGTTTCTTTTCCACTCTTAAATTGCTTAAAATGTTTAAACAGTCCTGCGCTGCGAGGATATAAAGTGTGGCACGGCCAGTGTTCATGCAGGGAAAGAAAGCAGAGCACTGTCCCGCTGTCGCATGTGGACGCAACTCAGGAAATATGGCTCTTAATAAAACACATTCTTAAAGTGCCAGTACTGGTAAAATGCGGAATCGTACCATTTTTAAAAGCAGGGTATCACGATACCTTTTTAGTACCAGTTTATCATGCAACACTAATTACCTCGGTAAGCTACTTGAACAAATCACAAATATAATTGAATGCTCTCACCAAGTCTTCTATAAACTCCTTCACTGCTGCCACCACCAAGATGAAGAGTAATGGCACCAGTGTTGTCCACCTCCCTGTTGGTGACACATCAGGGATTTGCTGTTGAGAGCAAAAAATAAATAAAATGGCCACATTAATGTCAGTCATTAATCCCTAGATCCAGAAGAGCAAAATCAAAACATGAACATCCAAATGGCACACTAACATCTTCACCTACAGGGCATGAATACAAACACTAATTAAAGTCCAGCAGAGCATTTAAATGTATGACCTCATGAAAAACACTGCTCCATTTTGTTTCCCAGCAATCATAACAGAGCCTGAGGGTGTACATCCCTAGTGGTGTTAGTATTTATCACCAGGAGGTCAAGAAAGCAACCTAAGGGAATGGCAAGAACCATCAGAACGTCAGCAGCAGCGACTCTGATGGATGTTTAGAAGTCGCCATGTGACATATCTGTCTACCCAGCTGAAGAGATCAGCTTAGACTTGCATAAATTTCCAGACTGGTCCACAGGCTGGTTAGGCAGTTGGTAAAGTGCCCTCAAGCTTATATATAATTCACACCATTAGAACTTGATTAAACTTCTACTGATTCTGGCAAAACTCACAGAGCTTACATAATATCAAGAAGTGGATCATCTTTGGAACGTGTCCCTATCAGATAAAGTGTCAGAGCTGTGACAGCTTCAGACAGAGGCCAGCAATGCAAAGACATACAATAGGAAACCCGAAACGGATTCCTTTTAACCTGATGCCAACACTTTCCCTTCTGCGTTACATTTCACTTAAACAGGAGAGTACACTCACAACCAAACCACAGTGGCATAGAAAACCAGACCAGTCGATCATCGTGGAACCTGGGTGTCAGGATCAAAATATTTAGTTGATTATAATGGCATATCCAGAAGCAGTTTTTGAGCAGTTTTGATGAAACGGCATCTATAAAAACCAGATGGTCGCCTTGGCCTCCCTCCTGTTTTTCTCATTCACAACATGCCTGTGCATTTCAAAGTCACTGCATTGACAGCAGCGTAATAAAGATACACAGAACCTGTGCTTCAAAGCCACCTGACTCCCTCTGTTTTACTCTTGTACCTCGCAGTTTCTCTTCTTTCTTCATCTCTCTTCCCCCTGGTCATCGATTGAGCTACATTAAAACAGAGGCGCTAATTTAATGTGCAGCGCATCCACAGGGTGATGCCGGGTTGCTCGATGGTGGATTCATCATACCTCCTGGCTCTAAAAGAACAGTATGTTTATAGAACTCAGAAGCCCTCGGTGACTGCAGCATCTGGTAATTACACAGATGCTGAAGCAGTGCAGCCAAAATCTGTTTAGGTCTCAAAAGCAATATATACAGTACACAACTGTTCAAAAGTTTGGAGTCAGTAAGATTTTTTTGTTTTTGAAAGAAGCCCATTATGCTCACAAAGGCTGCATTTATTTGATCAAAAAGAAATATTGTGGAATATTATTATATTTTAAATGGACTATTTCTATTTTTAAATATGTCTGAATGTAATTTATTCCTGTGATGCAAAGCTGAATTTTCAGCAGCCATTACTTCAATCTTCAGTGTTACATGATCCTTCAGAAATCATTCTAATGTGCTGATTTGCTGCTTAACAAACATTTCTTATTATTAATAATGTTGAAAACAGTGCTGCTCAACATTTTTTGTGGAAACACATACATATTTCAGGATTCTTTGATAAATAGAAAGTTCAAAAGGACAGCATTTATTGAAAACAGAAATCTTATGTAACATTATTAATGTCTTCACTGCCCATTTTGATCAATTTAACGGTCCTTGGAATAAAAATCATTAATTTCTTTCAAAAGACTCCAAACCTTTGAAACTTCAGTACTCAAGGAGCAATATACTTACCTTTAAATGGATGTGTTAGCTAGCAATTAAAGGCATAGTTCACCCAAAAATGAAAATTCTGTCATTAATAACTCATGTCATTCATGCCTTGTTTACAAGCAGAGGAATGCACACACTTGTCTCTTGTAAATGGCGGAGGACGCTGACGCAGATGAGAAGAATTGTTGAATAAAGTAGTTATTTTTGTTTTCTTTGTGCACAAAATGTATTCTCGTAGCTTCGTAAAATTATGGTTGAACCACTGATAGATATCACATGAACCATTTTAACAATGTCCTTAATACCTTTCTGGGCCTGGGAACATTTTAGTTTCGTTGCTGTCTATGCAGGGACAGAAAGCTGTTGAATTTAATCAAAAATAGCTTAATTTGTGTTCCAAAGATGAACGAAGGTCTTATGGGTTTGGAACGACATGAGTATGAGTAATTAATGACATGATTTTCATTTTTGGGTGAACTATCCCTTTAATATTTCGTGAGAGTTGACAGTCTTAATCTCTCCATCTTATCATCAGTATTCCTGCCCTGAGGGAGGAAGGTTGAAGAATAACACTGAAGTCTTACCTGCAGAAGTGCGATGAACAGGAAAAAGGAGTTTGCTGCTCTTCTGAACTGAGAGTACAGGAACCGAGGCAGGAACGTGAGGACATTGTACTTCGCAGTGCTGGAGAGAAAAGAAGAGAGGATGTGGTTACATCCTAACAATGACCACAATATAAAACCACTTGACATCACCTGCAGACTGGGCTGACACAGTTTATCATCCATTAATTTCTCACAGTTTGCAATTTTTAGTGGGTCACTATTATACCATAAAATGTGATATTGATAACCAGGAATCATTAGCATGACCTCCATCACGAATCAAAATCTGTCCCCCTTGCCACACCCAGTGTCAGTTTCAGTGCCAGCCTGAGACACGAGCACAAACACACAGTGAGTGATTGAGAGAGGCAGTTAAAGACCATAAAGAACAGCAAAGTTTGAGGAGAAGAGAGAGACTGGGCTGTAAAGAGCTCTGAATTTGAGTGAACTACGGTGGGAGCTTGCCAGAGCCTCCATCTCTCAGACTGCCGACTGATTTATGCTTACATTAGGCCCAAGACAGCGAGGCCACTTTAGACTGAGATAAACATCCCACTCTGAACCCTGACACCTGCCTCTTTATCCACCCACTTACAAAAAGAACAGCCAACCAAAAAAAAAAAAAATGTATTTCAATCAGAATATTGGTATTTATTTATTTTGTATTCACTAATGATAAAATATAAAACAACATTAAATATAAAAAGATAAAACAAAATACAATACAATAAAATACAGTATTCTTAATAAATGATACATATAATAAAATATAACACGTATACAAAGTAATAATACAAACTAATACAATACTATATAAATAATATAAAAGAGAATACAATATTCTCAGTCCACCAAGAAACAGTCTGAATTTTTATTAACATATAATAAGTGCTGTCAAACGATTAATCGCATCCAAAATAAGTTTGTTTACATAGTGTGTACAGTGTACATTTATTACATATAAATACACACACACATGTATGCATACATAAGAAAATGTTACATTTATATATTAAATATATAATATAAATTATATGAATGTAAATATATACATGTAAATACATGTAAATATTTTCAAAAAATATACTGTATGTGTGTGTATTTATATATATACACAAAAAAATTTACACAGTACACACATATTGAGTAAACAAAAACTTTGTTTGGATGCAATTAATCACGATTAATTGATTGACAGCACTAAATATAATAATACATATAATAGAATATAAAATAAACATAAGATAAGATAATACTGTATACAATAAAATATAAAATAATGTATTAAAATAAAATACTATATTCAATTCAATATTCTCAGCCACCTAAAAGCCTTTCAGAATATTAGCATTTTGTTACTAAATGACTGTAATATAAAATACAATACATACATTACAATACAGCCACGTTGGAGAGACTGAGAAAGTCTGTGCACATTTCTAACATGGAAAGCGATATGAGTCCTCTCACTGTCTCTACGTTTCACTGATCCAGTCTTCACAGAGATCCTTATCAGAGCACGGCACACAGCATACCGTAGCACAGCAATTAGCAGCACCGTACGAGATGGAAAGTTCTGTCAGGGGCCTGTCGTTCTCACTTTTCTAGACTTTCTCTTGGCTAGTTTTCAGCATTTGCTCAGTGTAGTTGCGTCAGGTGGCTAACAGCAGCTAGCAGCTGCTCCTACTGTTCTTCAGATAAAGAAACACATTTCCATGTTGCTGGGCTACTCAAATTCATGGAGGAGAGCAAGAGGGAAAAATGACATTGCCATCTGTCCTCATACTCATCTAGCACACATTAGACCTTTTTTTTAATTCAATAAAATGGGTGCAAAAAACATCTTTACAAAAAAAGGTTTCAAAAATATACCTGGGGAAAAATATAATAAATAGTTTAAATATTGGCTATTGTGAAATCAAATGAATTACCATCAAACAATATGAAGCTCTTCAGAACCTTTTAAACATTTTATTGAAAGTGGTTGCTAATGCAAAGTTTATTTAACAATAATAATGATGGACAACGTAAACTCAACATGACATTCTAGCAGACAGCTTTCTCACGGCAGTGCAGAGAGAGCTGACCTGCGTCTCTCCTCCCATTTCCTCTACACGACCCCAGAAACCAGATCTAGGTCTGCTTCTAGACCTCAGCCGGCTGCTTAACCCACACGCTCTGCTCTTTTAGCACTACTTGGCGTCATCATGCTTTTAAACAAACATGTATCGCACACGAGAGCTTCAGGACGCTGGCTCATCAGGCAGTCACTGGGGTGACTAGTGTAACTGCTCATCAAGATGCACCTCAGGGTTTAACCACGTGCTGTTAATCATTTTAATGGAGAGAAGGTCATGGCATTGTTGGCAGTGCCGTATTTACAAATGCATCAACAGCCGTTTTGTCTATAGTGTGAGGAGCAAACATACTTTTTTGGTTTTTGTGTTAGGAGAGAGATGTTAATAATGTTTGTTTGTTTGAGGTGTCAAAATGTGTAATTTAATACAACTTAGCATGCGCTCTATTCCCAACTCCAGAATGTTGTATTTGTTTAGGTAAAGCTTATGTTAGTATTTTGTTCAAGAGAAAAATTCCTTACATTTTACAACAACTTAAAGGGGTCATAGGATGCTACATGCACTTTTACAAGTAGTTTGAACCAAAATGTGTGTTGGCAGTGTGTGTACACAACTACCCTATAATGATAAAAATCCACCCAGTGTTTTTAAAAAAAAATCTGGTTAAATGTTTTCCCCTTTCTCAAATCAAGCCGATCTCAGATGCCTGTCT